TCTCTCTCTCTCTGTCTGTCTGTCTGTCAGTCAGTCTGTCTGTCTGTCTGTCTGTCTGCCTATCTGTCTGTCTGTCTGTCTGAATGTCTGTCTGTCTGAATGTCTGCCTGCCTGCCTATCTGTCTGTTTTGTGCTGAATGTCTGCCAGCCTGCTTATCTATCTGTTTTTCTGCCACTCTGTCTGTCGGTCTTTTGATCAGTAGATTGAGGGTGGTTGACGGGTGGTCGATGGGTGGTCTGGTGTGGTTTGCTCCTTCTTTCCTATCAAACATCTATTGTCCTTATCTCTCCTTCTTCTTTTTTGTGTTTGTTACTCTCTGGTAACACTTTTAGTCTTCGGCACTTATATTACCTTATTGTGTTGCAAGTGCCGTAACACTCTTACTAAAACAAAAGTCAGTACATTTGTGAGGACAGAATGTGGGTGGTCAGTATGCACTCTGGTGGTGTGCTTTGCTCCATATTTCCTATCGAACATCTATTGTTCTTATCGTTCCTCTTATTTTTCTGTGTATGTTACTCCCTAGTAGTATCACTTCTTATTTTGGATGCTTTTCGACTTATTTGTGTTGCAGGTGCCCTAAAACTCCCAACTAGTGGGTGGTTGGCAGGTGCTCTTGTGTGGTTTGCTCCTTCTTTCCTATGAAAAATCAATCTCTCCTCCTTTTTTATGTATGTTACTCTCTTGTAACACATCTATTCTTGGGCACTTATATGACCCTATTGTGTTGCAAGTGCCGTAAAACTCTTACTAAAACTAAACTAAAAACTCCCAACTAATACTCCAGTAAACAAAAGACAGAACCTCATGTTTATCTCTTTAACTTTCATACATCACTGTCTGCTCCCCAGGCAAAGTATGCCCACCCTCTAACTTTGAGTGCTTTGAGCTTGGCACCCTGAGCCGGGGGCCAGAGTGTATATCCAGAGAGCAGGTGTGTGACTCCTACCTCCAGTGTGCTGATGGCTCGGATGAGTTCAACTGTGACGCTGTTGCAGGTACCCTACGAGCTTTCTCAATCCCCTGCAAATTTCCACTTTAACAGACTTGTATTAAAAGTTGTTTGTTGTTATTTAGTAGGACTGAAAAAAAATTTAATGTCCCTATCAGTTTTCTTGTTCACAGCCATGCACCACTGGTGTGGATACTGCCCTGGCCAATTTTTCTATGATTTCCTAACTCTTCAGCTTTTAACATTTTAATTTCTATTAGAGTATCATCATTCATCATCATCAGGTTGTCCGTGACAGGTAGAGTTGAAACAGCCAGTCTCCTAAATTGTGTCCGGGGAGAGCGTAAAACATTGAGAATTATATTCTATCTCTTAAATCCGTGAAGTAAGTGTTGGTTTTTTAACTTCTGTAGTCCACCTGTGTTTAGTGTTAGTGCTCCAATGAGCTCTTTGCTTTGAGTAGACAAGATTTGAAGGAAGAGATGAGGCCAGCATCAGGTAGTCAGTCTTGTCGGAGAAAATGTCACGTTCAGTGATTATGTAATTTTAGATAGAAATAAACACGTCAGAAATTCTATTCAAATGTACGCACAGGAACATAGGATAATGTGTTAAGTTGGACGATAGGGGTGAATTTGTTAACAATAGAGGCTTGAACTTGTGTTTGTCATTGTTTAGAGGGCAAGTGTCTCTTTTTATTGCTGCTTTGAAAATGTCCCCATTTCCCATAAGCTTGGAGCTGCCAATTTTTATTCACATTTTGTTTTCTTCGAATTGAGGCTTTTTACAATATTTTTTCTTCATCAGCAAGAGAAATTTCATTCTATTTGCTCTCTCTTTTTCGTTCTGGGACATGGTGAAAAGTTTTTTTTCCTTTTGACTGATTTTTTTATTTTTTTTTTTGGTGTTCTGTAATGAGTAAATGTTGTTGGGTGCTGGGTTCCCATTGATGGGCATTCCTTTCTCCCTCATTTCTTTGTCGTTCTTATGTTTCCTCCGACACATCTCCACTGTCAGGACTTTGTTTGGACTTGGTCTTTATCCTTTTTGTGCTAGATGTAAGCTCTGGGGTATGGTCTGCTCCTTTTCTTCACAATGTTTCTGTTGTCCTAATGTGTCCTTTACATACTGAAGTTGCTCTCATGCTGACTTCCCGCAAATTACTACAGTCCAACCGTTTCATTTCAGTTACTGCAGCTGTTCCCAATATTATTACAGTCGAACTTGCCCAAATGGCCACCTGTCCATAACAATCACCTCCTATACAAACCACCTTTTCCCATGCCCCCTTTACAATTTATTTCTTTAGTATAGTGTCACTGTCCAAGAAGACTATCTATATAAGACAACCACTTTCCGCATCAAAATTGGGTAGTCGTCTTGGACAGGTTGAACTATATCTGTCTATATATTGATTCACCAATTTTATATTTGTTTTTGTCAGTTACAGCTTGGCAGGATTACAAAGCGGCACTTGATTTTTATGTCTGTTGTTTCCTTTCTTTGTAGCCAATAATCCCCAGCTCAATAGCTGGTCTCGACAAGGTCAGCAGGGCTGGCCTCAGTATAGCAACAGTGCCTACAGAGGCCGGGGCTTCAACCCCGCCAACAACAACCAAAATCCTGTCGGTGGGATGATGGACCCATTCACCCAGCCTGTCTTACAGCAGCAAAAGCAGCCACAGCAGCCAGCCATTCCACAGCATCAGCAGCAGCAGCAGCAGGCACAGGCTGGTGGTTGGCCCTCAACTCAGTCACAGTCACAGCAAGGTCAAGGACCCATGCCTAGCCCTGCAGCAGTCAACCGACCTTCTCTTCCCGTCGTGCCCAACAACGTAAGACCTGAGCAAAAGTCCGGAGCTCCCGTGGCACCATTACCCAGCATGGGGAACAACAAAGCTCACAGCTTGCCCTCACCTTCTCCCATACCCCAAAAGCCTGTCCAGCCTGTTGTTCCTAACTCAGATTCTAACAGCCACCCTAGCTATGCTCAGTCCCCTAACAACATGCAAGCTAACAACATTAATTACGGCAATGCCAAAACCTTTGTGAATATCCCTCAAAATTCTAACCCTGCATCCAATAGTATGAATCAGCATGATAACCCAAACAGTGGACCAAAGCAGGTTTTGAATCAATTGCCTGTGCAACGTGTGGTAAACAGGGTTGACCCGAACCCTCAGGTTCCCAATAACATGCCACAAAGCCCTCAGAATGTTGTCCATAAAGTCCTCCCCCAAAATGTAGGTGCACGCAGAAATAATTATTCATCCAACCTTCGGCCTAAACTCCCTCAAGGACCCACACCTGCATTTGCAGAGGGTGGTCAGTTCAATCCGGGACAGCCACAAATGGTGGCCAAGCCGACCATGAAGAACCAACCGTCTCAGGTACCACAAAAGGCAGTGTTTTCTCCACCACGACCGTCAAAGCAAGGCGTGAAATCTCAGAGCAATGTGTTCCATCCAGTAAATCAAGGCGGTGTTCAAAACTCGAGGCTGAGCCAACCAAAAGTTCAAGCAACAGCTTCCGGTTCTCGTCAGAGCCAAGGTCACCGTAACCCCCCTGTCTCATCTAAAGTCGGTAATCAGCAGCAACCTGGAGCTACGCGTCAAAAATTGAAGCCTTCAGCTCCGTCTCAGAGCTCGTCAAACTCGTATAACAGCCAAGGTTCACTTCCAAGATCCCAGCTGCAAAGTCAACCAGACAAGAGTTATCCCAAGTCACAGACATGGATGGATCCCTCTAACTATTACTTCTCGTACGGGGCAGGAGATTCTAACTCCCAAAACCAAGCCCAGCAGCCACAAACAGTCAACAACCCCTACTACGACCCGTCACAGTACTTTGCCCAGTACCCAACAGAGACATTGGACTCCCTTCCCAGCAGTTTGTTGGACAACTCTGCCAGCACCGAGGACTTTTCCCAGTTTGGAGGTCAGTACTTGGGCCGGCAGAAGTCGTACGGGGCACCCTATCAGAACAATGGTCCCAACTCTGGCTACCTGGGCTATCCAGATTCCTCGTACAACTCTAGGTTCCAGCAGCCCAACAGATACGAGTTTAACGGAGAGTTCGGTACATCAGGGTACCAGGACCCAGACTTGTATCCACCTGTGGGGAGCCCCCAGTCCTACAAACCTTCGGCTGGACTGTATGAGGGTAATCTCTGAGTCCCTCTCACACTAGTTCTTGGTGTTGTCAAGCACATGCTTTTGTGGTTTTGATATTGACGAAAGAATTGATAGAGTTCTGTTTTCAGTATGAGCTGTATTTTTGTCCTGTAAACTGATTGTCTTCATTTTATTTCTGTAGTGTCAATAGGATATCTTTATTTACCTTTTTTGATTTAAGTTCTAGTGTTAATCTTACTGCTTATTATTTGAATTGATGTTAAAAAGAAATAAAATGCTTTGGAAAAGATTATGTTTTATTGCACTCCTAAACAAAAGAAAAGGACTCATGAGAAAACATTTTGCACATATGCTCTTATGTGGTCAGTTGTTTACTATGTTGCATTGTGTACAAGTAAGCATGTTTTTGAAAGCACAATGTTGACACTTTCTCATACAAAGCCTGCTGTGACTGCTTGGCATGCTCAAAGCAGTAGACTTCAGGCTTTCAGTATTGTCATCTGTATGTGACCCACTCATTATTCAGGATGGTGTTTGTTGGAGTGATGTTTGTCTCCCCACTGAAATATCTTGTTACTAATTCTTCTGTAGCTACTGTACAGTTTGCCATTGTACGCTGTTTATGTGTTCTGTGTTCATCCTTGCTCACCTTTGCATGATTTGAATAAACTCCCTTTAACTTCCTCATCCCATTCATTTATATACCCTTCTTAACTCTTCCCCTTTCCAAGTTCCGGTACAAAAACGAAGTATTACTATGTTGACCAGACTTTGCGTGTGCTGTTGGGTTTTTTTAGTTTAGTTGATGCACCGCTCTGAATTTGTGCTAGAATATTGTTGTCATGGTTTTAGTTTGTGTGCCTTCTGATCTTCTTATTGTGTTGTTATCACTATTACATCTAATTTTTTAAAAGTATTTTAATCATCTTTGGTGTGATCCCATAAGATCAAGAATTTTGCGTTCACAGTCTCCTTAATGTTCTAGTTCTTGCAATCTTCTTCCTTCCATTTATACCTGAATCAGGTTTCAGATAAATATTGTCTGCTGTCTTACCAAAGGGGGGCACAGCTTTCTCTTCCCCCTCCCAGAACCAACAACCTCAATGGAATATGTTCCATAATCCTCTCGGGTGTGTGTTTGAAATGTTCACTCTGTACTATGCTTTCTCTCCAAATCTCTTTTGGTTCAGTCTGGCCAAGATTTGGACACCCCTCCCCCAACCCCCAACCCCCAACCTGCAACATTCCCCTTCCCTAAAATCTCACAATGGGCCCCTTGCATTCAAGATTTAACTATAGTTGAGATTTTAATTTAAAAGCTCATACAGAAACTTGAACTAATGATGCTAATGAGATTTTTTTTTTTTAAATCCATTTCATCATGTAGGCTAGCTCTTTTGGTGTTTTTTGTTGTTTAGTCTTTTTGTGATCTATTTTTTTCTGTCCTGATGTTTTTAGCTGTTATTTTTCATGAGTAAGGCATAAATGTCATTTCCGTGGATGTGAAGTGCTTTTTTAAAATGTAAACACCCTCTGTTGTGCTCCAGCCACAAAGCTATGCCACACATGTACTCTGACTCTGTGTGACCTGCCATTCTGTTAACACTACTCAGTTTTAGGTCAAGTTATGTCATCAGATGGTTGAACTAGATCTATTGCACTTTGAAATTGAAAAAATAATGATTGCCGAAACTCATTGTGAATATATAGGTACTATAGTAGCCTATGGCATGCTACTATGTGTATTTTCTTTTCTATATTGTTTTATCCTTATTATTATCACATTATTGATTCTGATGCAGTTCAATAAGAAGGATGTCAAAGCTTGCTTTTGTCGCAGTGTCATTATGATGTATGATCTGAATATTGTACACCAAATTAATACTGTTGTGTTGCTTTGAATTAGGTCAGATGGGTTTATTTTAAAAATGGAGCTTTAGCTGTCATGGTAGTGGTAGGTAGAGTAGACCAATCATTAACAATGATCTTGTTGAGAATGTGTCACCAATTTCTTTTGAAAGAAAGTGTAGTTTAAAAAAATATAAAAAATGAATTGGTCTGAAAAGAAGGCATAAGGAGCAAGACTTGAAAATAAATTTGTATAAGTTATATAACATTTTTCAGATTTTTCTCTCAAGTACAGCCGGAGTGAAGTTCTTTTCACTTTGTTTTTTAAAGCAGATTCTTCATCTTTTCAGTGGGTTCTGCTTTGAGTTCGTTGGCTCATGTCCTTGCTTGCAATCTTTTGGTCTAGTATCAGTAATTCTAATCTTAAGCTTTTTTCAGTTTTCAACGTCCTTTTTTTTCTGTATAGAATGTCCATAACTTTGTATATTTCATGTAAACAGTTTCTTATGCATTTTCACTGACTTTTAATTCCTGTCTCCTTCTCAGATTTCCCTGGAGGCTCTAACTTGCCGAAGTCGGGCAGTCTGAACAAGAACACAGGTGAGTAACTCGTTGGCGATGAAGGTTATCCCAGTAGGAATAGCGCGACCTCAGTGCTTTCTTGTCGTATCTCCATTTTTTTAAACAGTGAAAATGTGACTCCTTCTTAAGCTCACTCTTTGTTATGAACTGTTTTCACTGTTTTTAAAAAAATGGAGGTACGACAAGAAAGCACTGAGGTCGCAACAGGCCTTTGAATTTGTTGTTTAAAATTCACTTTTCAGATTCTGTGAAATGAACCTTCTGTTCTTTCTGGGGGGTTTTCTTTATAAAGTTACTATCACAATATCAGAGTTCATTATTGGATATTTTCCATTATTTTATCCTCGTTATCTGATCTCTAGCAAAATGTGTCCTTACGATGCTGACTTGCCATAGGCTATAACTTCACAGCTTTCATTCATTTTGTCTGTGCATGTCCCTGTCCATTACAAATAGTGTCATTTGTAGTCTCGTCCTTGAGGATGTTTTCAATATGGGAAATATTTTGCAATGGTTTAAAAAAAAAATATGGTATTGCATGCAGTTTTGTTTTGCAATGGTTGTTTTTTGGGGGGGGGGTTTTGGTAAGTGTTTTACTGTGCTCGCAACTGCATAAAGCCATATGTGCGCGCAGACACATTTAACTTTTTCAGGTGGTAGGAAATTTTGAATTTTTGTCCGGGTGGCGGCCGAAGCCTACTTTTATCGATTTTAGACCACCAAGGGATCTTTAAGGTGCGCAACCTGCTCACTGGCCCTCGGAGATTTTTCGTTCTTGTCCGAGAAGGCAAGGTGTAGATATTTCCTACCAGAAGATCAGCGGTGTGGCTAAAAGACAGCAATAAGGAGCCTAGGAGTAGTAGTAGAAAGGCTGCAGAAAGAGTCAGGAGCACAGAGGAGGGGGCAAAGGAGGTGAGGCAGAGGAGGCGAGGTGGGTGGGGGCAGAAAGAGCAGGAAAGGAGGTGAAAGGAAACACTTTTAGAGAAGAAAAATTTCTCTCGCTACCCGGATTCAAACCCCGGACCTTTGAATGAGAGGCCAACACCTTAACCTCTAGGCCACGAGAGCCCCTTTGCAATGTGTGTTTACATTGTAAAGGAAATGTAACTGAAGGTACTAGTTCTTTGTATAAGTGAGCATAATATTTGACAGCACCTGATGTTCTATCTTGTTTTATCAGGAATGAAGTCTGCAGCATCCTCAGACCACAAGCCGAGTGGCTCTACCAGTTCAAAACACAACGGGAAGCCAGCAGGTGAGTTGTGTCATTTTGAAGTTGTAGGCGTCTGGTCTGATGTAAGGCCTACATGAACAAATGGCTGTGTCATCTTTATGGTTTCCTCTTGCATTGCATCATAAGACTGATAACTAGAGGTACTTGAATTTACCATATGCATTGCCTTTTCTGGAATGATATGGTTTCGTCATTCCATCTTTTTGTATCCTGTCCTCTCGCATGAAGACAGACATGCTAAACACATGAGGCTGATGAAGCTTCGCATGATACCATAAAAGTTGTAACGTTGTAAAGTCTGTTTTTTGCTGTATATTTTAACTTCTGTATCCTTGATTGTTCCATTATTGTAAAATTATGTTTTATAGGGTGGATAATATCTTTCTTGAAACTACTGAGTGATGATTGTGTGTAATGTTCGTCTCTCAGTTTCTTATAATTTTATGTGATTACCCTCATTTTGATTGTACTGTGCAGCTTAAGAAGATCTAGTCTTTCTGTTCCAATGACCTTGAGAGTCAAACCTGTGTTCCTCCTTTTTTTTTTTTTATTCAGGATCTGAAAATCTGTTGGCTACATGCGTGCTAGACTGTATATTTTCCTGTCCCCGAAATTTTATGTTTTTTAGTATAATTTCTGCTTATTTTCCTTTATAATTCTTTGTTTAAATTAACAGAATCGCATGATTTCACATTTTTGGGGTCAGTCTGCATAATTTCATAATTTTTCTTGCATAAAACGACGGGGACAGATTTTTATTCTGCAGCAAAGCCTTACAGTTTATAGGATGTGTGTGAGATTTAATAATGCCCTTGTTCTTTGATTTTAGAGTGAAAGTCTCCAGTTTCATTGTGTGGTTTGCCTTTTTTCATTTTTGGTATTGTATCAAAGTATAATTCTTGTGTCTGTGTTTCTCTCTTCAACTAGAAGTGAAGCCCACCTCATCTTCTAAATCTGCTGCTGTTCCTCCCGTCACCACACACAAGAGCTCCTCCACAGAGAAACTTCCAGTCAAAGACAATGGAAAGGCAAAGGTTCCAGCCACCTCCAAAGACACAACAACCCCCAAGCCATCTGGGTCAGCTGGCAGTGGCAACAACCATTTGTTCATGGAGAAAGTGATCATTGCCAGTAGCAGCAGTAACGCAGAAGGCCCTATCATTGCTCTGTCCCTCGGTCTCGCGTTCACGCTTATTTTGCTCATCCTTGTGGGCTGCCGCTTGCGAAATATGAAAACTCGTTTGAGGAAGGGAAGGCCGCTACATTCCAACGAGGCAGACTATTTGATAAATGGAATGTACTTATAAACTGCCCGGAGTCCTTGTCAGAGACTGAGAGTGAACGTTTGAGTGGGTCATTCTTGTGGAGTGTGAACTCCCAAGGAAGTGCTAACTGCTGTGTTGGTGAAGTGAGTGAAGGGTGTGTACACAATCATTGAAGAATAAGAATGTGGAGAGTTTGATTGGGCAGTATGGAAATTTGCGTTGCACAAAACATGATGTGTGAGATATGAGTGATCACCCCTCAAACCCCCCTTTTTTTCCCATTGACGGTACATATATTACATGATTTAGACATCATCATCATCATTCATCTCCTTCTCTCTGGTATTGGGTATAGGCCGCCAGAAAGGGCTTTCCACCTGTCTCTGTTCTGGGCGATCCTCTCCACCTGGGGCCAGCTGTGTCCCACATGTTTGAGATCTGCTTTAAGGTAGCCTTTGCCATGGCAGAGAAGGAAAATCGTCTGGCTGAATTTGTCTTTGTTTTTTTTTCTCTTAACTGTCATTGTAAAAACTTAAAACAAGAAGAAAAAGGAAAAATGTTTTACATTTTTAAAAATATAGTCTGTGTCTTTGTTCTTAAAGGGCCCAGCCAAAATTACAGGAATTCTGTTTGTCAAATGTATTGTCCATCAGCGTATTACGTGAGAAAAGATATGGAATGTTGACCTCTTTGGTTTTTTTCCCCCTTGTTCTGGAGGTATTGGTTTATTGATATGAACCTCTGTGACTTACAAGCAGTCAAAGACAGTGCTCCTCTTATTTAAGTCGACTCCAGCAGTTGGAACCTTTTTTCCTTACAGTACAAGGTACCACAAATTTTTACAAAATGTAGCAAATCATATAAAGGTACTGCAAATCATAAAACTGTTTTTTGCAAGATGGACCAATGACTTCATTTCAGAAAGAGAAGCCCTTCGATTGTCTTTTTTTTATTTACTGAAGAAACTCCAGCCATCTGTTTCGTGTATTCTTTTTGCACGCTTTTGTATATATATAGATCTGATTTATTTATCTGTGACTTGATTCCATCCTTGATCTTTAACATAAAATGGTACATCTGCTTTTTTTTTTTATTCAGGAAAGTAGAAAAGTTTCAAACTCACTCTTCATGTTCTGATTTGATGGTACCATTCCATATTTATGATAAATATTGTTTTACAGGACATCAAACATACAAAGATATCAAAACCTGATATCAAAATTACACACTGCCTTGATTGTGTAGCGTGGCCCAGTATTTGAAAAAAGCCTATGGGTCAAATCTCAAAGTCAGTGATCTGTGAACAAGATGGGATCTCCACTGCTTCATGTGTCCGGTTTTTGGCACAAGATTGGTGGTGATCTTAACGCAAATACATTATTTATATTTCATTTGTTGTTGTTTTTTTTCTTTTTCTTTTTAGTGGTACTATCTGCCGATACTGCTGCTGTACTCATTTGAGATTAAATCTGAATTGTACTGAACCCTAAATAGGGAAATGACCTCCAATGACTTGTCATACTATGGAGTATTTCTAAATTGGTTATTTTCCTTAATTTTTTTAAAGTTTCTTTTTCTAGAATGATTGCTATTATTATTGCTGTTGGTTTCTTTTCTTCACAGGATTTGTTTTAACCTCATTCAGAACTATGTTGGCAGTGCTTACATACATGAAGAGTATGTGTACTTGCAACATTGCGAGATGCCTCCAAAAGAGAATTTAGATCTGATACAGCAAGCCTCAACACTGTGAAAAATAAAAAAGTCAAAATTTGCACTTTTACGAGAGAATAGATCTCATGAATACAAGTCACATCTGAATTGTACATTTATTGGACCTCTTTTTATTTTTATATCTTTACAAGTTTTGTACCCACACTTGTTTACAATAGTTTCAAAATATATTATATACCATTCTGATCAAAGGTTTGTTATGATGTATCAATTGAAATCCACAAAGTTATCTGAGTTGTGCTGTGTTGTGGAACAGAAAGACAGTGATGTATTGCCATGACAGTTTCCTTAAGTCGACCACAGGCACTCTTTGATAGTGTCTTCTTGGGTCGAGCTATAGTTTTTCTTTCTTTTTTTTAATAATGTACTATCATCCTGATACTAATTTACTGCTGCCTTGCATGCATGTAAGCTTTTCTTAGTGTCTTTGTCACAGCAGAGGGGTTGGGGACAAGATGACACTATGAGTCAAAAAGTGGAGGTGGCACATACAGAAGCTTTATTTTGTATCAAACTGTTCAGCTGAAGATGTAGGTTGAAAGAAGATGCAGTCCCAAAAAATTACATTTACATTGATTTTAGGAATGATTTAATCATGCTTTTCACTTTTCCTCTCCCTTTTTTTCTTAAAATGATTCAATGTAAGATTGGTCTCTTAAGCATGTTGGTGTTTTAGCGCATGTGAAAAGGGAGCTTGCTGCACTGTATGCTTCCCAGGAAGTAGAGATTGTTGATTGTTTCAGAATGCTATCAAGTCTGCTGGGGTAATAATATAGATTGTAAAGCACCGCATAGAGCTTGCTGTGAAGTGGGAACTTGCACTATACAACAAATGCTATCTTTTGTTGTTAAGCTTGATCCTGCCACCAACATTGTCTACTTATGTGTGGAAAGTTGAAAAGCATACAAAGGAAGAAGTCCTAACATCTTTTTAAATAAATGAACTCTCTTTGTTATTTCGCTGTTTTGCTGCACTATAGAGCAAGATTGCAAGTGTTTCCAGAATATGTTATCAGAGTCCTACACAGTTCATGTTGTATCAGTTTTAGCTGGATTTTGTTTATTTGTTGTTTTTATCTTACAGTGTTTCCAGTAGATATTAATTGTGAAATATCCCTTCTGATCAAACGTTTAGATCAATTATGGTGACATATTTTTTCAAGATGTATCGTTTTTTTGTCCTGTCAACGTATCAATTGTGAACAGTTCAATGTGCGTATGCAACTCCGACAACTCGTTTGAAGTTTTCAGGGTAGACAAAAACTTATTAATTTTCTAAGTACTGTTTTGTTAGTGCTCACTTAGACTAAAACTTATGAGATATGGCAAAACAGTGCTGATGCTTGAAAAGATGTACGGCAAAATGAGAACTGGAAATCATATTATGATCCACACAGTTTGCAATTTTCAACAGTGATATTAATTAGCTCAATCAATAATTTTATCTGAATAAAACACAGAAGATGAAGGGATGCACTCCAGATGTAACGGTCAAAATGTAAGATTACACTGGTTTTGTATGTTGGGGTGTGTGGGGGGGGGGGGGGGCATTTTTCATCCACAGTGAGAAATCGTCTTTATTTTCCTCTACTTTTGCGTGTCCCCCCCCTCCCCCCACGTCTTTAGTGTCTGTCTCGCATTGACTAAGTTGATTTGTTTCTGACTTTTTTTGTTCATCTATGACTAATGCAGTGACTGTCAAACGGGGCAGTGACTTGGGCTTGGCATGAATGAAACACAGAGAGAGAGAGGGGGAAAGAATGGAAGATGGGCAGAGTGACAGTGTGCCAATCAAGTTTTCAGCATTCCATGCCAATTTTTCTATTGTAATATCATATTATCTTGAAACATACAGTTTGTTAAGATTATTGGTTGTGCTGTGTGTATAATTTATCGGGAGTTGTGCAGTAAATGTAAACGTAACAAATTCTTCCACTGTGAATTATTTTCTCTGAGGTAATTTGTGAAATTTATGTGATCTTTTTTTCTGGTACAGTTTTTTTTTCAACGTCCCTGTCTGTTGTCACAATGTCAGATTTTTGAATGACAAAAAGTCAACTCTATGGGTTGTGCTTCAGTCAGTCATAGTAATAGATCACATAAATTGCTTGAAGTGGTCATATCTTTTTAGCTAATCCTGGTACCTTTGTAGAGAGGTACTATTACTAACATAGCTGGACACCCCGCCTTCCAACACCCCCCTCCCCCCCTTGCAAAAATTTAAAAAAAAAAAAAAATGAAGTAGTTGCAGTGTTAGCCAGACTGACTATGCATAGCTGGAAAATCTGTACATATGATATCTTACGTAAACTTCTGTCATTATTTTTTTCCCCCTTGTTCAGAGCTTTCACAGTAGAGTAGTTACTTACAGAACTTTTGTACTTGCACAGTCGCAATGGAAGTTGTTCCAAAAGTGAATCTCAGCTTGAGACATTTTTCGTCTTCATTGAAACCAAAACTGTTATTCTCTGAACTATCGTTGCTGAACATACAAAAACGTTCATCCTTCATGACAAAATTGTAATAATTTGTTGAAATAATTATGTGCGAGGCATATAAATAGCTGACACCATTGCTTTTTCTCAGCTTTTTTACCCACTCTTTATAACCTTTCTAAGACATGAGTAGCTATAGGATACTCGAAACTTGTAGGCAGTTGATTTTGGTTTCAAAAGGAACATCACACTAGGTGAGGTACCTTTTGAAAGTGTGTCTCGAGGTTAAATTCCCTCTGTGTAAGTGTATATTTTTTACTTTTTTTCTACCACTGTAACCGTATGGACTATTTAAAGATTACTACTGAAAAGTGATCACAGATGTAGCAGGACACAATGCTATCACTGTGATATGTTGTAGAAAGTGAATAAAACTTTTGTTGACAACCTTTGAGTGCGTCTTCACATTTGTTACTGAATTAATCTTCTTCTTATCTGTACACACTAATAAAAGGTTGTTTTGTTAAAATCCAGATTTGTTTTCACAGGTTTGTATGGTTCACGCACTTCAATCCGACTCTGTGATTTATTAGAAAGACAATCAAGTAACATAGCAGAACATCTTTCCATTAGCTGTAACGTACTCATAAACACCTGTCATATCTTTTTTTTTTTTTTGGTAAGTTTTCCTGTGCTAGCAACTGCATTAGAAAGTGGAGATGAGGTGAACATGACTAGGGAGTAGGAAAGGAGAACATTTTAAAGTAGACAGTTTTTTGCTCACATCAGGTTTCGATCCCGAGACCTAGTGAATGAGATGGGAACACCATACCTCTTGACCACACGAGCCCCCTATATCTTTATTCTTGTCCAAAGGTGAAGGTGTCCGAAGTGAATCTGCGCAATGAATGGTTTGCTTGAAATGTCTTCACCTACTATCTCCATGTATATTATAACGAAAGTAGGAGGACCTGGAATTATGACATTTTTAAACAACCCAACACTCATTTTCAGCTTGTAGAATTTTTCAAGGAGCTACCGATCAACCACACTTCGGTACCTTAGAATTACAAAGGTTTATTTGAAATTTTTGGCCGTTTTGAGTTACTTAGACCATTAGGTCAGAAACCAAATGCTCTATCAAAGTCATAAGTCGTTGTCAAGATATTCAAAGAATTACATTTGAAAAAGCTTTACATGTTATGAAACTCAAATCTTTTAACGTCAAATTTCTCTAAACTAGGTAGTCCTGCTGAGTAGACAGAACTTTGTGTAATTCTTCCTCTTCTAGGGTAGCGGCTTGGAAATTGGTAGATATAGTGGGAAATTGTTTGAATGATGCCCAAATGGCAACAAATCGGCCTGCCCACCAGGGGACTGAGATTGTACCAAGCGCCAAACAAGTCTGCGTAGAGATAAAGTGTGGAGTTGCGTGAACAATCTTCGGAGATGTGCAGGACAATAAAACAAACTTTTAAAAGATTTTAAAAAAAATTTAACACATTAAACTTGCCAACAATATTCATTTGGGGCTGGAGATCTTCGAGCCCCGACAAAGGGGAATAGTTCATGACATTGACATACATGTACTTTCTTCAGTGATACAGTTACGTGCTCTTTAAATCTTCGTTGTAATGTTGGCCTACTGTGTGTTTTCATAGGCACAATGTTTGCAGTTTGCAAAGCTTTGTGTTTGTGCTTGAGCTGCTGAGATTTATCAGCAATTAATCATGTTGAAGGGTGAAGCACTATTAAAGCGACCTTTTAATCACCTGATTTTTTAAAATGAAATGTTGAGGATAAAATGGCTTAAAATGGACCTCTATTCAGACGATGTTAAGCTAGAACAAAGAGATTGAAGACAAAGACTATTTTTCAGAACTTTTCTCGTCTGAGGGGTTCTCAAAATGTCGCTGGCTCAATGTACTTACAGAAAAATCATCGCTATTTTGCTTTTATCGCTTGTTGATGGTTCACCTCGGCGAGTGACGCCTAGCGCACGCACAAACGCACACACACACACACATACACACACACACACACACACACACACACACACACGATACGCACAAAGACACACACAAATCTTAATACATGTACATTTCCTCGAACCTGGGATATCTTACATTTATTAAACTTAAGCCGCCCTCATTTCTAAGCCACAGCCACATTTTGATCCACCCCATAGCCACTGGTCAGCAGCAAGCCAATGAACTATAGTAATAATAATAATAATCAATCAGGTCGTTTCTGAACTGTCGGTTCTTTGGTGGACACGCACGCTGGAAAAGAACAGAACGAATTGCCTCCTCCAGGCAAAGAATCAGGTCGTTTCTGCTTTGGTGGACATGCGGCTGTAGTCTTTACCTTGAAGCGCTCTCTAGTTACTTTGTAATCACATCTCTAATCTTATGTACTTAGGGCCTATAGAACAATTTTTTTCTTGCAAATGCCGTAAAACTCTTTCTGAAACTAGGATAACTCCGGTTGTCTTGAAAATCTTTAGTAAGTGAGGGTTCAACGGGAATGTGTGTGTGTGGTGGTTTGGGGGGGGGGGGTATGAGAGGGAGATTTTTGTTTGTTGTTGTTTTTTTCTTTTGTTGTTGTTTGTTTGATTTGTTTGTTTGTTTTCGGGGTCGGGTCAATAAACCGTTGAAGAGGTTAGAATGACACTCTCATTTGATCAAATGAAGACATGGTTATTAAAGATTTAATCTGGGGAGTCAGTCAGAAATCTTAAAGTTGTTTTAATGGAGCAACGGTGGAGACTGGTGAAGTCTACTTTGTTTGAACATATTTTGTTCATTTCTTTTTTTTCTTTCAGGTTCAAAACATCTTTCCTTTGTAGACACTATTTAAATCGATACCCTTCGTGAGTCTTTCTTTTTTCCCAGATTACAGAGGTGAGTCATCTAGGCTGTGCTTATGAGCCGCACTCACACAATGAACACCCGTTGTCATCAGTTTTGTAACCGTCCATGCCACAGTCAGTTTCACAAGTGAAAGGAGGGCACACTTCAGAACCCGCTGTCGTTGGGGCTTGGGTGTTTAGGGCTTTGGTGGTTGGAGCTTGTGTGGTTGGGGCTTGGGTGGTTGGGGCTTGTGTGGTTGGGGCTTGGGTGGTTGGGGCTTGTGTGGTTGGGGCTTGGGTGGTTGGGGCTTGGGGAGATGGAGCTCCTGTTGTTGAGGTTGCCGAGGTTGGAGATGTAACAGGCTTGTACTGACACACGTAAGGTTTCGGAGTGTCGAAAAGCAAACTTCCTGAACACTGACTGTCCCTCCAGACCCCATGTGTGGTGGTTGGGTCGATCGAGGCGCAGTCCTCCAACTGGCTGTACACCCCGTTACCTTCGCCAGATCCCCAGTTGGTATAGTCTGCCTTGGTGCCGTCAGCCCACACAAATTTTCCTTCTTTTATTACGTCAGACAGACCGATCCATGTGTCAGAGGTTTCCTTATACGTGCTGTGGAGCTCGTGTAAGATGAAGGAGTTGACTTCAACGGATTTGATGAGTACAAGTGTTCCTCCATTCTGTTTACAGTCTGCCTCGGCAGTCCAGAAGTAGTGATGTTTGCTCACAACAAACCGATAACAGATGCCTTGAAAAACCTGTAAGTACTTATCCCGCGGTACGTTGGATGGGCAGTCGTTGACGGTAACTGCGTTTCCTGAAAAGAAAGACATCACCAGGGTTATGGGCGCGTTCAAAAAGGAGGAAAAGGGGGGGGGGGCAGATTTTGCTATCATGTGGGAGTTATTTGCTTCAGAGAGAGAGAGTGAGTTTGGGAAAGGGGTGCAAGATCCACAAGTTCCTGCACGTACGTGTAATGTGTGTAGGCTTATCATGTATGATTTATGGATTTCTTGAAAAGCTACGCCCCCGCCAATGACAATGAGCTTTAAGGTTAAAGTTAGGATGGTTCAAATTTCTGACACCGGGTATTTTTTTCGGCGCCATTTTCAAGGCAAACAGAAGACTTTTTCTAAGCCCTAGATCTATACAAAACAGACGAAAAAGTAACATCGGTTCACAAAGCTCGCTTCTTGTTTAGCCTATTGGCAGAGACTTTCAATATAATTTTTCAAAACTGTTTTTATTGCAGTTGCTTATTCTATGGGTATCGGTTGTATGTTCTTGGAAAAATATCTTGTCGGAGTTCAAATTCCTTTATTTATGTTGAAAAAAGCGACAGAAAATCGAGTCCCTAATTGCCGGCCCGCATGCCGTCAAATCACATGTGTTCAAACTTGTAGCCATGCTGTCCTGGGTAGCATAGTACATGTATAAAATGTTGAGCGCTGTAACCACCCTTATGGCGACATGGTGCGGTGTCGGGTGCTTGCACTGAAAAAAAGTTGTTTTTTTTGTAAGTGTTTTACGGCGCTCGCAACTACATACTAGTTTCAGATGAGCCCTGGCAAAGATCTGCACCTTGGACAATGTATTTTTTCTTAGATATATGCCAATATAAGTCCATATTTGGGCCTTCTGGTGACAACAAGGGGTAGGATCTAAATAAATGTATTTTTATTGCAATTCTAAGAAAGCTGAAGGAGACCCTGGTACTGGACAGGAGAGGGTAACAGGACGGGACATTAGTCATTACACAACCCAAATAATTTTCCACTCCTTAATTAATCAAGATCAAAATTCCACCTGGAGACGACGTTAAATAAGTTATGCAAATATTTCAAAGAAAAAAAGAGAGAGAGAAATCTTCTCTTGACGTAAAATATGATGGACTTCGTTATAACGAATCATAACACTCAGAACTTGATTGGAAATAACAATAGGGCTTGGGAGTTCGCAAAAAAAGGTAGATGTTGGTAGTGATGGGAGGGAAAGTGGAGGGTAGAGGTGGGTGGGGGTGGTCAAGAATCATTTATTATTACAATGAAATCCGACCAGGGGGGAAGGCTGACTTGTTTGACAGGGTAATTAAAGTGATTAAGTTGTGTGAATGAAAACAAATCCGGAATTCAACTGCCCAAATAATCGGGAAAGTATCTCATTAAATATCAATTCCAACTAAAATTAAATTTAACTTTAGAAGTGAATACACAAACCCAAAGCAAGGAAGCAGAGATGTCAGTACTAGATCTATAATATGTTATAGATCTACCAGTGAGTCTAACTCTTTGGTAGAACATGACAATTATCATTTTATTAAATTTCACTTTTGGCTGTTTTCTTTTTGTCTAGCTTTTCGCGGCCAGGAGCCGGTGTCATAATCGAGGTCACGATCTGATTATAGGGCGGTAAAAAGTCGAGGGAAAAAACCAAGCACTAGCACTAGCAGCAGTAAAGAGATTATTAGGAGTTAGTTCCCCTCACATCTGTAAAGTAGACTCGGCCAGTGTAATAGTTCACTTACATAATCAGAGTTTGAGAATGATTATAACTGTGGCCCGAAAGAGGTGAACAGGGTATGTGTGGCAATGAAACTGTT